CTAGGAGTTGGAGGTTGCTGTGAGCTGTGATGCCACAGCACTCTACCCGGGGGGACAGCTTGAGGCTCTGTCTCAAAAAAGAAACAAAAAGACCCAGACTCTAGGCCTACTACTTTCATTTTCTCATTGAATGCCCTTAAACAATTTATTTTACCTTTCTGGGGCTGTTCCCACTCTATTCATGTTGCAGGAGAACAAGGCCAGATGGAGAGAAAGTAACACATGAACATCTGTGTTTGAAAGAGGAAGGGCTTTATTTCACCTGGCAGAGCCCCCGCAGACTAAACCCAAAATGACCAAGCTCGCACCTGGCTCTGTCTTTTCCCTTTTATCTCTAGCCAAGGGTTCCTTGTTCACGGTGCCCTTCTCATTGGTCAGTTTGAATCAAGCTGCAGAACGTGGGCTGTGGCTTTTACAAAAGTGGAAACAGGATTAGTTTCCAGGTCCCAGGAAGTTAAGTTTCTATAAATTCCTATGAGCTGCGTCACCACGGGGAGGACTTTGCAGGAGTGTCCTTGGGCTCCTGTGAGGAGACTTTTGCTTTTATAGGCCTGACTTTTTCTGGGTTTCCTCTCTCATTCAAAACCAAACCACAAGTTTCTTTAGTCGGCACATTGCAAACTGACTGGTGCTGCCAAATAAATCCATGTCATTGTCTTGCTTGGCCCACAGAGCATGTTAAAAACTTGGTAAATATTAAATAAAAATTCAAATTTCCAACTCCTCTTGAAAAATACAAAAATGGGCAACAACAAACCAAGATTCCTACTTGAAAGTCGAGTAAGACTGCCACTCCAGTGGGTGGGCATATACTCTGGAGAGCACCACAGTCCCCACCTCTCCCTATTGTCTCTCACTAAGCCTGCTTTACCATTTATATAAGCTACTGGCCATGATAGGCATATCATTTGATGGTCCTATTTCAACCATTTATCTGCTGGTTCCTAGATCACCATCTAGCCAAACTCTTCTGAATCTGCTTTAATTTTTTCAAAGTTGTTCTTATGGTATAAAGCAAAAAACATTTCTTCAGATGTTCTTAATAGTAAAAGACCTACATCATATTGTTGGCTCATACTGAGCTCATGAGCAATTAAAACCCCAGATCTCCCTCTCACGAGAGGGAATCAAGAAGCTGACTGCCAAAGTTGGTTTGCACTGCCTGTGATTTTTTAGTGAAAATCTACAGTTCTAGCTCAATGTCAATATTTCACATGGGGATTTTGTGATTATCAAATTCACCATAGCATCAAATCATCAAAAGCTTTGAAATAAAGCCCTGGGCAAGTACAAAATACTTTATCATTTAGATGTACAGACTATACACTGATGAAGAGGATATTGCTGGCAATAAATGTATTCTGTGATTTTTATTTTATTTTATTTTCTGCAGTTTTTGGCCAGGACCAGGTTTGAACTCACCACCTCCGGTATATGGGGCCGGTGCCCTACTCCTTTGAGCCACAGGCACCGCCTAATTTTTATTTTAATTTAATTTTATTTTTATGCTTCAGGTTTTTTAACTAAAATATGCCTTTTAAAGTACGCTAAAATTAAACTGAATTTCTTAATAATGGCATACAATGTCAACTGTTGCATTTGGGGACTGTGTTCAATGCTTCATTTGAAAGAGTGAAATCAGATAATACCTCACAGGTATTATCAGAAGTGCCTTATCAGAAGTGCATTTTAATCACGAATGACCACATCACCCTCTCTTTTCTATATGATTTATCAACCAACTTGACATTTTGCCTTATCCCAGACTGAAAGAGACACATTTCACTTGTCCATGATTTACACATTCTGCATACAAACCAGAGGGTACTAAATAAACTTAAACCATATCTGAATTCTCTCCCAATTTTTTAAATTTTAATATTTTTATAATCCTATGTTAGGAATAAAAAGCTGTGGCTCGTGTTTAGAATTTATTGCTTTCTGAAAGTGATCCATAACCATTTACTGCTAATATAACCAATTACTGCTAATATATAATGTAAGAAAATTGTAAAAAAAAAAAAAAAAAATTTATTAGGATAGCAGATGAAAATTGAAAAAGAGAAAACTTAATTCAAACTACCCCGAGGCTGTTAGACAAGGAGTGGAGTACATGGCCCAGCCCTGTGTCGACACCTTGTGCTTCTCTCTCTCCCTTCTCTCAAATCTTTCTCTCTTTTGTGTTTAAGATCGGAGCTCAGTGCTACTTGGAATGCTCTGCCTTGACTCAGAAAGGTCTCAAAGCGGTTTTTGATGAAGCAATCCTCACTATTTTCCACCCCAAGAAAAAGAAGAAGCGCTGCTCTGAGGGTCACAGCTGCTGTGCGATTATCTGAGGTTGCCTGAGACCCGCCTCCACTCCAAGAATGAGAATGGCACCCATCTCCAAGACCAAGCTCCCGCCAAAAAGGAGGGCATGACCTGAAAGGAATTTCCTTCCCACAGAGGCTTGCCTGCCACCCTGTGAGCCCTCCCAAGCACAGCCCTCTAGTCAGCCAACTGCCACTTGCGTCCTCCCTGCCAGCTAGAAGCATCCGCGCTGCACACTCCCCGAGGACGTTGGGTCCCAGTTTCAGACGGCGCCGCTGCTGAACATGCTAGGAACAAAGTCAAGGCCGTCTTGCATTTCGTATTTCTCCTGCCTGTGAATATGAAGCTGATAGGAATCATTACAGAAAAACTGAAAGAGGAACTCGGTTCCTGTGCTGGTGGCCTTATTTGATGTCTTTTACAAAACATGGGACTGCAATACTAACCTTTCTTTTCTGAACCTCCTGTTTTACCCATGTGTCTGACGTTCATTTGTACTATGTGAAGGAATCAACTAATTTCCAGTTTACTCAGGCATTACAAATCTGTACCAAATTAGCCTAAAGAAAGGCGGTTTATATCCATTTCTATTTTTAGCACATTCCTACCAAAGCCATTAGAACCGACACATACCTCTGACGGCCTGAGCACAGGAAGACACAAGAAAACTCTAAAACTTTTAGAAACTTATATTGTCATGATTTTTGAACCTGGCTGAATGAAAACATCATCTGAATTGGTGCAGGTCCACGTTTTTGCCAAAGACTCACACTCTACAAATACATAAGTTGATAGGCAGCCTGATTTTTTTCCTACTATACTGTCATGGCAAACTAAAAACGAACTGTTTACAAAAGTACTATTTCTATTTTGCATCCACATCCACTGGGGGAAGAACATAGCAGGACCCATCTTTTAAAATAGTTTACTTAGCAGAGTGGATCTTCCTGCTCCCTCTCTCCCCCATTGGTTGCCCTTTGCCTTCCTGGGTTTCACACTTTCTCCTGGGCCCAGATTCCAATTATCACCTAAACTGAGAGAAGGACTGGGCATTGGGCATGAACAAGCAAGTGTTTAAAAATACCTGAGGTAGTCCTAATCCTAGCACTCTGGGAGGCCAAGGTGGGAGGATCCCTTAAGCTCAGGAGTTCAAGACCAGCCTGAGCAAGACTGGGACCCTGTCTCGACTAAAAACAGAAAAACTAGTCAGGTGTCATGGCAGGTGCCTGTAGTCCCAGATACCTGGGAGGCTGAGGCAAGGAGTCACTTGAGTCTAAGAGTTTGTGGTTGCTGTGAGCTATGATGCTACAGCACTCTACAGCTCTCTAGACAGCCCTCTACCCAGGGTGACAGAGACTCTGTCTCAAAAAAAAAAAAAAAAAATACCTAAGGTAAAGGGAAGTCTGTCTGCTTCTCTACTTGCCTCCTGTGACCTCCTGTGACCTTCTCCAGTAAGGACTGGCACTGAACCCTGCCTCTCTCTCTCTTTCTCAAATGTCTGTTTGGGGCCAGATCTGTGGGTAGCAACCTCTGGATCCGTCTGTGTCCTGCCTTCCAGAATGATGAGCTACATAGAATAGGGACTTTGGGCCCATGGAAATAACCTCAGTAAGGAATCACAGGCCCACTCGTGTATGACAATTCCAGACATTTAGGAACTTTGGTACCATGAGTGAGTTACTTCCTTCTAATTAGAGGCTATGAGAGGTTCTAATTAATCTTATTTGCTCATAAATGCCCTGGAATCACCCACGTAGACGCTTTTTTAATTTTAATTCCTTAAGCAAAGTACACCTTTGTAGTATGAAATTACACCAATTTTAAGACTTCCTGGCCTCAAGTGCCCTGTATTAGCAAAAGCCAGTCCTTCCAGAACCTTCTGCTGCTGCAGAAAGCAGTAAGAAAAGCATTACAGGGTATGACACTTTTCCATTAAGACTTCTGATGCCACCCCTCAGTTCTGGGCGGGGGGCGGAGTGTTTGTGTGGAATTTCTGGAAGTTGTTTCCCCTCCCTCCCCATTTCAAGTACAGTTTACCTTCTCTCCCATCTCATTGCTAAACATTTTTTTAAAATACACACATTTCACATAAAACGGGAGTTTTGTAAGTCAAAGCTTGACATTTAGAGCAAACGAGGACTTTCTGCCTTTTTAAGTGGAAATCTATTGTGTATAAATTGTAATTTCCCAGAGGTTATGAATTCATCCTCTATAAAAACTGATGAGCATTTATCCCCATAATAAATGAAGTGATATTAGACAGTTGTGTTACATGATTGCACAGTTACATCTTACCAAAGGGCCACTCCTGCGTTTTTGTTGATGTGGAGGAAAATTGAGGTCAGTATGTTTCCAGATGTGTGCACTCAACAAGAAAATAGCTCCCAGGACATCACCTCCCTAATGGACCACAGGGATTAACTTGTCCAAGATGGGAAGATCATTTCTCCTTCCAAACAGAAACTGGATAGAGGCTGTTAGTGTCTGGATGGAGCACAGGCTCCCAGAGGTCTTAGGGGCTAATCATTGAACTAAGTGCAGAACAAAGCAACTTAAATGAGTCATTCCATCCTGACAAATTAATCAGTTATTAATCATGGCAAGATCTGGCTCATTCTGATACTGGATTTTTAACACTGGATTTCCAGGCTCTTGGTCTCGACGATTCAATGAATGAATTGACAGACCATAGAATGAACAGTGAGGTTTTATTTACAGCTCAAAGAACCAAACCTCTTTGCAGGGCAGGATGCAAGTGTTACAACTCTTATGAAAACAACTCTTACAAAGAGCCAAGCCTCTTTGTAGAGCAGGATAGATGTGCTACAGCTCTTACAAAGGACCAAGCCTCTTTGCAGGGCAGGATGAGCAAAGGGCCAAGCCTCTTTGTAGGGCAGGATCAGCAGCGGAAGTGTTACAGCTACAGCTCTTACAAAGGACCAAGCCTCTTTGCAGGGCAGAGATCAGCAAAGGGTCAAGCCTCTTTGTAGAGCAGGATCAGCAGTAGAAGTGTTACAACTCCTACAAATACCCAAGCCTCTTTGTAGAGCAGGATCAGCACTAGAAGTGCCACAGCTCTCGCTTCTTCTTCTGGATGGTCTACCATGGTCTGCTGAAGTCTTGTTCTTCTGCTCTACCTTCCTGGAAGGTCTGGACAATCTGCCCCCAGGTTCTCTGCTCAAGGCCTTATATAGGTGCAATAGCTTAGCTGTGATTGGCCTATAAATTGGACCAGTCAGGAGCAGGATTGAAAATGGACCAATCAGGGATGGGCACCAGTTTTCCCTTGATTGACAGGTCCTCCAGCACTGCTCTACTGGAGCCTCTGGGGGAAGAAAGCTCCCCGCTTGCCCCAACCTGCCGGTTTCTTTGCCGGCTGCTGCCACCAAGACAGAAGTGGCAGGTCCCCCAGGCCCTGCTTGGCTGAGCTGGCTGGGGTGCCACTTTTCCGGTATCAATTCCACTAACAAGTGTTTTCTGCCATAAGATTGAATAAAACTATGTTCTGAACCAAAGACAAGAAGGGACAGAAATTGGAAGTCTCCTGTAACTGTCCACAGCGTCTTCCAGTGTCACGGCAGCTGGTCTCCATTTGAGGAGAAACGGTCTTGACTCATCATAGAAAAGGTCTCCAGAAACTATGGTCTGTGAACAAAAGTTCTCTGAAAAGGAATTTGGAGGAAAGAGACTATTCCAGTCAACAGTTTCCAAACCAGGAAGATGTAGCCTCTTGCATAAAAGGAAGGAGTATTCCAGAGAACAAAAGGAGGGTTTGGATTTGATGGCGGAAGCTTCAGATTGGGTCCCTTTAGGCAAACCAAGGCTTGAGATTCACTCAGTTCTAATTGGTTATACAGCTGAGCCCTGATTGGCTGAGGCAAGTGAGGTCTGATTGGTTGGCTCAGGTGAGGTCTGCCATCCCAAAGTCCAACAGAGGTGTGAATTGGGGAGAGGGATTCAGAGTCCATGCGTGACCCAGCTGACTCTATGTAAAATTTAGGCCCTGTTGCCACATCCGTCCTGGAGGATTGGCTCTTTCGGGTTCACATTTTTTCACAAGTCCAATTCCTCGTTGTACATAGAAGAAACTCGAGTCCAGATGGGTTAAGAGAGGTGCCCTGTGGCAGTGCTGGGACAGCCTCAGCTTTTCTGCTTCCCATGCAATGCCCTTCAACTCAATACTATAATTTATCCATATCACACATGTCAACTTGGAGTTTTGTAGGTGTATTCTTGGAGTTGCATCTGTTTATCCTATAGATTCCAGAATATTTTAAACTTCATGTAGTTAGACCACTGTAAATAATCCATCAATCTAGTAATAAACTAGAGATGGGAATTTGACCTATGTACTAATATGTCCGGAAACCACAGTACACGGAATCTAAGGTAATGGCTCAGTCAAGCAGCTAGTTTGATAGATTTGGTTTTTTACTCACGGTTTGTGGTCTGATAGAATTAAGAAATCCTTGGGTTATTTTTGGAACACAAAAGGACTAAGGCACAGTAAGAAATCTGGGCTAATTTCTGTAAAATTATAGTCAAAGAACAATTACTGAAGACAATACGTACAGTAACCCTAAGCCAATAAGTCAAAAAATAAGCTACACACATGCGAGGTCTTACTGTTAAGTTTGCAAACTTGCCACCGGGCACTGTACAAAGAACTTGGTAAGGTCTCATAACCTTGGTTAACCAGCAGCTCACAGTTTGTGTTGTGTTGTGTGGTGGTGTCTCAATTAGTGCCTTTCATTATTGTTGTTGTGTGTTTTTGTGTGCTGTTGCAAGAATATCAGAGCTTAAATTAGAAACAAACATTAAATTTCTTGTTAAACTTGGCAAGAGCAGAAGTGAAATCAGGGACATGTCAGTCCAGGTCTATAGGGATGATGCCATGAAGAAAACGGCCATGTACAGACGGATTAAACGTTTTTCTGAGGAGAGAGAAAGCATCATGGGTGAGGAGAGGGCAAGGTGGCCAGCACAGCCCTTTTCTAAGGTGAGTTTGTGAACTTGATTATCAGACCCCGTGTGATAAGGGGGAGGTTTTGTCCTGAGACTTCACTGACAAAGTATCTGAACATGGTATGCAAAGCACTGCCTGGAAGTTCCTAGTTTATCAGAGAAGCACATGATGAAGTGAACATGGCCGTACTCAATTTTCACAGGGCCACCGATAAGGAAATAGTGTCACATAGTAGTGAAAGAGCAATCACAACCATACTTACAACTTTAGGAGAAAAATAAATCTAAATTCAAAATTTGAAACCAACAAAAATGTCATCATGTAGGCTATACGTTCCTGTGAGTGGGAGCTTAGAAAAGAGAGCATCTTCAGGAAGAAATATTTGACTGGAGACAAGCCTCTCAAATGCCTTATTATACTCACAAGGGCAAACGCATTCAACAGACCAGAGTAATGGAAAATAAGAAATTGGGGTGTTGCTTTAAAGAATGTTTGACATCATGCTAGAGCTTATTACATAAATAGTTAATGTGTTCCTTTTTAAATCCATCTCTGGGTTTAGCTGCCAAAAAGCAAAATACTCATCCTCCCTCAACAGAGAGAACTACAGGTCACCAGCTATTCCCCCAAGAGTCTTGGAGGAGGCCACATACCAATAAGGAAGCTCAACCAACTATTTTCATTTCAAGGATCCCTTAGAAGCAGAGGGAAAAGAGGGGCGGGAAACTAACAAAGGAAGTCAGGCCTTTGAAAATGGAAATATGCAAAGAATGGACAGGAAGCTAAAACCAAACAGAAGCCAAACACACACCTCAAAATTCCCCCCCGAGAGTCACTAACTTCAGCTTGGTTTCTAGAAGCACAGGGATGAATGGAGAACACACAGCCTGGACAGGACTATGTGGTTCTGGGTATCCAAGCAGAGTCAGGCAACAGGGCTTCTCATGTGATAACCAGATAATCCCACATCACGCTTCACTAAAAATGAATGGAATCCTAGACAATGTTCTTTTTTTTTTTTTTTTATTGAATGGTAACTGTGTACATTAATACACTTCTGGGGTACAGTGTGGTATTTTCACACACAATCCGAAACACTTCCATTGGGTGGAGGGAGAGGGATTGGAGGGTTCACTTCTGTGGTTTATCT